GTTGGAAGACGAGCGCCAGAAGCGGGTCCAGGAGTTGCAGCAGAGGAGGCGCGAGAAGGACCACAAGATTGAGCTCCAGTTCCAGGAGAAGGAGAAGGAGCGCCAGGAGATGGCCACTCAGAAGGTAGGGGTCATACCAGTGCTGGTTGTGGCCAATGGTGTTGACTGTTTTGTACAGTATATACACCTGTTGTGTGTGTTTGTAGTGGTGTTGTACTAATGGTCTCTCTCTCTCTCTCTCTCTCTCTCTCCAAACGCCAGGCGCTGGACAGACAGTCGCGTCAGTCAGCGATGAACGCATTGTACGCCCAGAAGACCGAAGAGCTCCAGAAGAAGATCCAACAGAAGTACGACGAGAGCGCGCGTCGACACGAAGAGACTTTGACACAAATCCGTCAAAAAGCTCTGGAGCTGTCGGTCCGCAAGTCCTCGACGGTGGGCAACGACGACGCGCCCGTATGCGAGCCCTACGACACCTGCAAACTGTGCCAATTGTGTCAAGTGATCATCAAATCGGAGGTCTTCCTCTTCGGCCACTTAAGAGGTTTGTGTTGTGTTTTGTCAACTCATTTGTCGTGTGTTTTAACCGTAATATCAATGATAAATAACATTAGGAAAGCGACACAACGCGGCCATCGCTGAGCAAAATGGCGGAAAAGTGCCGTCAAATGAAGAGTTGGAGAATTTCAACATCAAATACATAGTGGAAGCGCCGGTAGACTCGGCCGACAAGAAGTCGGCGATACAGTCGTGCGATAACGAGCGGCTCCGGGCGGCCCGTAAGCGGAGCAAGAAGTTGAAGCAACGCCTGGCGGCCAAAGCGGCACAATTCGAGGCCAATTAGGGCCCCAAAGTGGTCTCCAAAGCCGTACAGACGTCCAACAAGAGTAAAATCACCAAATTGTTTAAGGTTTGTATCGACGCTAAGATAGCGCTTTCAGCGCTTGTTTTGGTCATTAATTGTATGATTTTGTATTGTTTTCGCAGGACTTGTCAGCGCTGAGCGCCGACACCCAAATCACTGGCCACTGGCCGACAAACATGACTCACAGTCTGGAGCGTAATCTCAATGAGTTGGAGAAACTGTTCCGTAGCAACAGTAGTGCCAGTAGTGGCCGCCCGACCACCGGTGCCGCCGATTCCCTATACTTTCATTGGCTAAATGGCATCCAATTGTTGACCAAAATGTTGTCCCGGATAATGAACGGCACCCGAGAGAGGCCCACATCGCTCACCGACCGGTCCAACGCTAAGTTGGCCGCACTTTACGAACTGGTCTGCGGTCAGCACTTGGATGTGGCCGACTATGTCCTGCAGTCCCAACACGTGATCGATTTGTTGGACATTCTGTGCCATCGGATCAATGTATGGCCCGATTGTTTGTCTTTTTGTTTTGTTTTTACAATTTGTTTTAATCCATAGCTATTGGACACAACTCTCACGAGTACTAGTAGTGGCGGAATCACAACTCAGACATGCGATATAGTGGTCGGAGCCCTGTGTCAACTCCTGTCCACCATTTTTGACACACTTCACGGCCACTACTCGACGCTCACCGACAGTACCGACGATAGTCTGGCTTTCAATCACATCATTCAAGACGTGATCAGGTATTGTGTATAAAAGATCACATAATCAGACAATTAATGGTTATTTTTATGTCAACAGTTATATAGTATCGGTCGGTATGATTGATAAGCTCTCACTAATGATGGCCAACACTCGGGGCCCCGTCGACGACAACCCGGAGCTGACCCAATGCCTGCGTAGTGTTGTCTCCCTCTTCAGCGCAGTCTCCAAACTGTTGGCACTTCGAGTGGAGCACAGGTTCGGCGCCCGTCTCGCCGACGACGACACACAACTGATGCTCACGTTTCAGATGACACACATCGGCGGTGTTGTGTCCCTCATCTACGGAGTGCTCCTCCACTCGGGTGCGCCTCAAAGGGCTGACGGCGATCG